CCAATTCTTGTCATGTGTCTTTGCCGATATATGTCTGATCTCAGAATTGTGTGTACTGAAACTTTAAATTCCCTCTGGGATTAATAAAGTATCTTTCATTATTTATAATTACCAATAACAAAAATTAATTCAATGATTATTTTTAAATTATAAAATCGTCTTTCTTTTTCTTGTTGGAATAAAGGAGTTTATTTAAGAGAGATCCTCTGTGAGGGACCTACGTTGGAGGAGAAAATGTTTATTGTTCATCATTTATTATCTCTGCAGTCCAGCTGGTGTGAGGAAGTAGGCTCTGATTAAAGGGCTACACACAGACTTCGAGACTCCTGTGAGGGGAAAAGATACTGTAGGATGTCATAGCCAGGGTAAGTTGACCTGGCTGTGCATTTGACCTGTGTGATCTCAAAATCAACCATTTCATGCCATTACATGTATCTGAAAGAAGGCGTGATGTTCTGAGGTTTGTTTGTTAACACCACTTAACATGGCACATCCCGATTGGCCAAGTAAATTATAATATGAAAACATTAAAACAGAATCGCTGGCGGAGTGATTCATCATTCCAGCTTTCTGTTAGTTGAGCTAACTCTGACTGTCCATTGGAGGGAAACTCTGCTCACACCGCATCTCTTGAAAAACTTTCGACAAGCTAAAAGCTGCCTACAGCTGACACAGCAAAACATTTCCTTCAGCTATTCAGAAACAGCTGCTCTAGACGCAAACTAGTTCCAACCTGTCTGCCTGGCGACACCTCTGGACTGGAGCGTCGGTGCTGCAGTTAATCTACTGAACCTCGGTGCCCAGAGGTCATCCGAAGGGTGAGCTGGACACATGATTGCATCTGATGTTGTTTTTATAAGAACCAACTTCATAGTTTATTGCAAACCAAATTCTTTTCACCCAGAACTCAGTTCTTCTAAATACGAGGTTCTGATAAACACACACCATTCAATCACCATACATCCCATCCCATCCACTTAGATTCATCCATCACAGTCATCTTAGATAACGTGTCTTGTTTTTAATTTGTTTAGAAGATAAATTTCTTACCTTTTATAAACCTTTTTTATAAAACCCACGCTTTTTGAATTTTTCTAATCGGTGCAGTACTTTTCGAATGGTGATGAGAAGTTTGACAGGTCCAGTTTCACTTCTGAAGGACAGATTTAACAAGAGTACAGCTGCAGACCTCCAACAGCTGTTGAAAAGGCAGGAAAACAGTGCTTCTCTCTGATTGGTTGAGAGTGTTCAACCATTTTCTGTCCAAGCAGGATCCAGCACCCACACAAATGATACATCAAATCGACCAGCTTGGTCTCAGGAATCTTGTATTCAATTTTAAATACATTATCTGTTACCATGGTAACACAAGTGCATAAGGATATCCCCAAACAAGTCTCTGAAACTAATGTGAAAAGCCTAATATCGAGCCTATAACATACTGCTGTTTCTTATATGTCTGAGCTCTGTACACTTTAAACTAGCAGCATAGCTGACATTTTAACACTAGTCAGAAGGCAGGAACCGCCCCCTCCTCCTTCACTGCTCTCTCATTGGCTGAGAGTTTTCAATCATCTTCTGCCTAAAAGGAAACATACACCCACACATATGATACATCAGTTCAACCTGCTTGGTCCCAGGAGTCTTGTATTAACTTGATATTGTGTTCTGCGTTACCATGGCAATGTGCTTATCAACAACATTTAACAACATTTTAGACACAACTGTATCAACATACTTTAATGTAGAAATGTTATACAAAGTTTAAAAGAGTCATGTGACATTGTACATTACTGTCATGTTCTGCGGGTGGAGGTGGCAGACCATGTGTGGTGGTGGGTTCCGGAGGCAGATGAGCAGGCAGACGGATGTAAAAAATAAGCTGTTTATTGTAGGATGGGAGCAACAGGACGAACGAACATGGACAACGACAATGAACCTACAAAGACAACAACCAGGAGGGAGGTATAAATACACAAGGGAATCAGGAACACATGGGCAGAGTAATCAGGGACAGGTGAGAACAATTAGGCAAATCAGGGCAGGAGAGACACAGTCAGGGAGGCTGGGGCGGATCATGACAGTACCCCCCCCCCCCCCCCCCCCAAGGGGCGGATACCAGATGCCCACAAGCCACAAATCACAGGAGACATGGGCACGAACGAAGACCAGACCAGGGCACACACGACAAGGGAACACAGAAGACGAGACCAGGGAACAAGGAACACCATCCAGGGCTGCGGAGCAGGGGCCTCTCGGTTCAGGCGGCACTCCGTCTTACGACCAAACAGATGTGTCCAAGAACTTAGACCAGGGAAACTCGGACCAGAAGACTTGGGACTCAAGGACTGGGCACAGGGACTCGAACACTTGGACTTGGGCACAGGGACTCGACACGATGACTTGGACTCGACACGATGACACGACACGCAGACTCGACACGCAGACTTGAGTAGACTTGACACGCAGACTTGACACGCAGACTTGAGTAGACTTGACACGCAGACTTGAGTAGACTTGACACACAGACTTGAGTAGACTTGACACACAGACTTGAGTAGACTTGACACACAGACTTGAGTAGACTTGACTTGACACGCAGACTTCAGTAGACTTGACACGCAGACTTGAGTAGACTTGACACGAACACTTGACTCCAGGAATACAGGACACCAGGAACACAGAGACGAACTGCAGCAGCAGGCGTGGGACCCAGCAGGAACTGCTGCGTGGAGAACCTGCAGGCACAGAACCTGCAGGCACAGAACCTGCAGGCGTGGACCAGGAAGTGGTTGAGTAGCGGGAGCGACGCGTGGAAGCCCAGCTCGGCGGCAGGTACTCGACATCCCAATCAGAGAAGGTGCACATCCGATCTGCTGGGTCCATCGGCGGAGGCTCGGGAGAAGGGAAGCCGGGGAAGAGCGGGGAGACCAGCCCTACCAACACCGGAGAACAATGGCGTGCGCAAGGGGTGTAGCTCCCTTGAGGCTCCAGGATCCACCGGAAAAGAGCGGGGAGACCAGCCCTACCACACCGGAGAATAATGGCGTGCGTAGGGGGTGTAATTCCCTTGAGGCTCCAGGATCCGCGGCTTCAGGAGAAGAATGGTACGGGGCAAAAACAGCTGGAGGAGAATGACCCTGGCCACCCCAAAGATAAATAGGATGCGCCAGGATCTCCCAGAGGAACTTCGACCACCCCGAGAACAGGTAGGATGCGCCGAACACACAAACTCCAGGCCAGAAATCTCCCACAACTGAAAGGGACAAAAAAGAAAAAATAATCCTCCAGAAACAGGTGTGTTAGCTCACCACAGGTCCAGGTTTGGTCGGTTCATTCTGTCATGTTCTGCGGGTGGAGGTGGCAGACCATGTGTGGTGGTGGGTTCCGGAGGCAGATGAGCAGGCAGACGGATGTAAAAAATAAAAAGCTGTTTATTGTAGGACGGGAGCAACAGGACGAACGAACATGGACAACGACAATGAACCGACAAAGACAACAACCAGGAGGGAGGTTTAAATACACAAGGGAATCAGGAACGCATGGGCAGAGTAATAAGGGACAGGTGAGAACAATTAGGCAAATCAGGGCAGGAGAGACACAGTCAGGGAGGCTGGGGCGGATCATGACAATTACTTTATTAAAGCAGACTCCTGTCATCTGTTACCATGGCAACACAAGGACCTACAAATCACTTTAACCAAGTCTCACAGGAAATAATATAAAGAGCTGAATATTGAGCCAATAACAGACTCCTGTTTTTGATCTTTTTGAACTATCTGTACTTAAAACTAGAAACAAGTTCAATTTGATTGACCGTCAGAAGGTGGGAAAGTGCCCCGCTCCCTCCCAGCTCCCTGATTGGTTGAGAGAGGTCAATCATCTTCTGGTTAAATGGAATTACACACCCACTTATGTGAGACATCAAATCGATCAGCTTGGCCTAAGGAATCTATCCATCCACATATAAATCCATACATGCTTTTTTCTATCCATCCATCCATCCATCTGTCACAGTGTCCCGATTGATCATGCGCCCTGGCTACTTGGTCAAGGGCATGTCCCTTTGGCTGACTGGTTAGTGCGTGTGACTCTCACCCGGGAGTCTGGGGATCGAATCCCACCCAGGCCCTCGTTTCTCCGCCTTGCCACACATCCATCCATCCATCCATCCATCCATTCTTTCAATTCAAATCAATTCAATTCAAAGATACTTTATTAATCCCAGAGAGAAATTGGAGTTTCAGTACACACAATTCTGAGATCAGACATACATAGGCAAAGACACATGACAAGAATAGGTGACTGTGGTCATTCGCCTATGGAAACCCATTGTCCACACACACACACACACACACACACACACACACACACACACACACATATATATATATATATATATATATATATATATATATATATATATATGTAGATCATTGTCTGATGACACCAACAGGACCACATCATCTGCAAAAAGCAGAGACCTGATCCTGATCCACCCTAATTGGATCTCCTCACCACCTTGGCTGTGCCTAGAAATCCTGTCCATAAAAGTAATGGAAGAGAATCTGTGACAAAGGGCAGCCTTAGTGGACTCCAACTCTCACCAGAAACTAGCCTCTATTACTGCCGGCAATGCAAACCAAGCTCTGACACCGGCTGTACAGGGACCTAATCGTATCAAGGGGCCTGGTACCCCATACTTCCAGAGTAGCCCCCAAAGGGCCCCTCAAGGGACACGGTTGAACGCCTTCTCCGGCTCAACTCTCAACTCAACTTTATTTGTATAGCGCCTTACAAACATAACGTATCCCACCAAGGCGCTTTACAGGAACAATAAAACCATAAAGTAAACATATAAACAAATAAAACAATAAAAACACAAGAATACAACAAACGCTGTGTCATACAAACAATAAAAACTATGAGAGATAAATGCCGAGCCATCAAAGCAGGTTTTCAGCCTTGTTTTCAAGTGACAGTGTGTAGTTTCCCTGGCGATGGGGGCATTAGATACCAAAATCATTGCAAGCAAGCTGTATTTTTGTGTTCAGGTAAGACATTATCAACAGATGGCCATTAGGGTCAAAAATCCTTGAGAGTGCAACCTCCAGCAAAATAACAAGAGCATCATACTCTCTTTCATCACTTGCAATGAGTGATGAGGGAAATGTGTAAAAAAAACATTTATTAATGCTGAAAATTTTGTAACCATTTGTTACAAATCAGTAAATGCATTCTGTCCTCACAGGCTTCCGTAGGAGGAGACATGGCACCCAATGTGGTGTCGCCCAGAGATTTAGACCCACTCCCAATTATTTCAGACCCAATTTTTATGCCTATATGTTATGAAACCACTACTATTTTTCAACAACTTGGTATCTTTTTAAATAATTTACAACATTTTAATGGATATTTCCAGAGATTAATGGTAAAAACTACACATTGTCACTTTTAAAACTGCCACAGAGATCAAAGCCTTTTTAAAATGGGGAAGCTTGTTTCAAAGCTTTGGCCTCGCTACTGCTAATGCCCTATCTCCCCGCGTCCTCAAGTGTGACCTCAGGACCGAGAGCAACAAGAGGCCCTCAGAGCTGAGATTCCGAGATGAGACGTAAGGCTGAAGTACTGTTGCCAGGTGAGGTGGCGTCAGTCCATGCAGTGTTTTAAAAAACAATAATGGTGCCAAATTCTAATGGCAATGAGCAGCCAGTGTAAGGCTGCCAGGAATGGGGTGATATGATCATATTTTCGCTTGCATACCAAAAGTCTGTACTTTTTGTACCAGCTGCAACCTGGCTGGCTGAACCCTGGCTCACACCGAATAAGACGGAGTTACAGTAGTCCAGGCGTACCATAACAAAAGCATGAACTACAGTCCCGACAGGAATGGTTTCACCTTAGACAGGCGACTCAGGTAATAAAAGGAGGGGTGTCAAAGCAGAGGGCACCATCTAGCGTCACCCCAAGATTAGCTGCTGATGCACTTAGCTGACCATTGAACACCCAACCCACCCCACAGTCGATTGTGGAGGTATCCCTATAAGTCACTTAGTCCACACAATACTGCCTCAGGAAGTTCCCAGACATCCATGTCTTGACCTAAACAAATATGACACTCATTGTTTAGAAAACAATGGAAGATGGGGAGGTGCTGCCCTCCAGTGTCTAAAAAATGCTACTGTATTTATGTTCATAGTCTTTTAGAGGAGAACATTTTTGCCTTTTTATTTTATTTTTTTAACGGAGACTAAAAAAAATCTTAATCTTTTTGTCCTCTTTGGTATATTAATATCAAGGGGAAAAGGAGGTGATGGAAGGAACTGGATTTATAAAGTTAGAGTTCCTTAGTAGAAATAGTCCCTCTACATTTTTTCCAAACTCTTGTTGCCTTGAAATAATGGGGAATGTGTCGCTCTCTGCTGGCTAAAAAATAAAAACAATAATACAAAGAACGCTGGTGTCCAACAGCATTCAGAAGAGATGGGGAGTAGCTGCCCTCCAGTGTCTGAAAGCTGTTACTGCACCTGTTTTCTTTTAGCCTTTTGAAGAGGATATTTTAGTTTCCTTAATTTGATGCAGCTGTAAAACATCTTTCTTTTGCTCCTCGTGGGAATATTAACGGTAGGATGGAGGTGCAGAAGGAGAAGATTTTGTTCCTTTGAAACAATTCCTCTAACTTTTTTTCCTTAAACACTGTTGCCTTGAGTTTGATTCCTCCATCTGCCCTCCATTGTCTTCTTCCAATTTCTTTTAGGTTTCTTTTTTTAAGATGGCAATATTTTATTCTGAGACTTCTGAAAAAAAACTGAACTTTAAGAATAGATCCGACATTTTTCAGAGATTAAAGTAAGTGATTTCATCTGGTGCTATTATAATACTACAGCACCTGGACCAGTGGTTACCAACCTGGGGTTCGTGACCTGCCATGGGGGTCCCTGCGACATTGCCTGTGCTGAGATTGTGAAATGACCAACATAATATTTGTAAAAATTACATTTTTAAAATCCCAAATAACACACCCAATCTTATAATTAAAACTCTGTATAATATATAAAACTCTGTATGCTTGCATAATGTTTGTAATTTATCTTGTACAGATACAGAGTTGAGGTGGTGGGGGGGGGGGGGGGTCTTGGACACGTGGCAAGGGGGTCCTCCTAGAAACAAGGCTGGGAACCACCCAGACTCTTCAAACTTGGGACCAGATTATTCTACACGGAGAGCAGAATCTGTTAAATGTAGATTGTGATGTAGAACCACAATTTGATTGGTGAAAACACTGTTTTTCTTTTCTTTCACAAATGCGGGAATTAAATTGTGTAAAACATAGTGAAAGCCTACTGGTTGTGCAGCACCAGGCTAAAGACCAAAGGTGACGGATCATCTGCTGCTGTGGCCCCCAGACTCTGGAACTCTCTCCACCTGAGCCTGAGATCAGTGGTCTCAGTGGCCTGCTTTAAAAATCAGATGAAAACTGGCTTTGGTGTGACCTTCTGTTGATTCTTCATCACCACCTTCTCCTCATTCAGCTCTTTCTACTAAGTCTGCCTTTCCCAGGATCCACTAATCATCTTCTTCTTATTAATTTCCCTTTTCCTTTTCCTCATTTTTAATCACAGTGTTTTACTTATATATATATATATATATATATATATATATATATATATATATATATATATATATATATATATATATAATTCTTCAATAAGATGAAGAATGACAAGTTGAAGTGAATCTTACCTGGCCGGGCAGCTCTCTGGGTGCTCAGCACCCCTAAACCTCTGCTGCTAGAACCACCCCTGCTACTTAGTGTTCCCTCTGCACAAATCAAACATCTGCTATTGAACAACTGACTGACTTTACTGACTTTTGTTTTTAAAGCACTCAATGACCTAGCACCTTCCTACCTCTCTGCCCTTCTCACTCCATATGTGCCCACCCGCTCGTTGAGGTCGGCTGACCTTTTGCTGCTGTACACGCCGCGGATGAGACTCAAATCGCGGGGGGATCGAGCATTTGTCCATGCTGCCCCAAAGCTATGGAACTCATTGCCCAATGGAGTTCGGCAGGCTACATCTCTGGCGGTTTTTAAATCTCGTTTAAAGACCCACTTTTACACTTTAGCTTTTAGACAGTGACTCGTTTTAGTGTTTTATTGTGTCATTGTTTAAATGTGCTCTTAGTATTCATCATGTTTTCTCTGCTTTTAATTGAGATTTTTATCCTTTGTTTTAGCTCCTTGTAATGGTGTGTTTTGTTTTAGCCTGTGCAGCACTTTGGGCAGCTCCCATGCTGCATTTTAAATGTGCTATATAAATAAACTATGCTATGCTATGCTATGCAACAGTTCAGTTGGAACAGATTCATTTCAGCAAAAGCTGATTCATCTGTAAATGGAAGCTATAAACCACATATGACTACACCTCCTTCCTGCGTGTTCAGATGTCAGTTTCTGATATAATCAAACAAATCTCACACAGTCTCGAGTTTTCTCACTGTCTCCTTTGCCCCCTTTCACAATAAGTTGATTTTTTTTAAATCTCTCTGATTCATTCAGAAGCTTATAATTAAGTTTTATATATTATTAATCATGAGGATCTATTTTTATTTTTTACTTTTTTGTTTGGCTGCTGAACTCAAAGCGTTGCCTCCCTTTTTCAGGATTTTGGACCAGACGGTGGACTGCAACCACATGGTGAAGATGGACTTACTTGAAACAGCAAACCGTGATTAAAGTCAATAAGAATCTCTTAAAGTTTATATGTCGTTGTTTTCTGTGTCTTTCCAGAATCTTTCCAAATGCACAATTGGTAAGTATTTTCTGTCGAATCAGCTTAGTGGGATGTTAATGCACAGCTGTACCTAAATCGTAACACCATATTGGTGTTTTGTTTTGTTAAGCTTACATGTGTTTGTGTTTCATGTGCTTGGCCACTTCTATTTAACACATGATTATTTTCCTTTAAAATGTCATAAAAATAAAAAATAAAAATGCTTGCATTTACTGATGTTGCACATTAACGATTATTAGGGGAAAAAGTAAGAAAAGAATTGTGAAGTACCTCCACAATAACGCCAGGTTAAACACTTCTTTCCATCTTTGTATAAATCTGTTCTTTCACATCAGAGAAAATGTCTTTTGTCTGTTTTAACGTGAAACGTATAAATGTCAGAGAACTGCTCCGACGTTAACGAGGTTCCTCACGGAGAGGCTCCTGCTGGCCCGCTGTGGGGTTCTGAGCAGATAAAAGCCCAAATGGACAACCATTGGCTGGTTCCTGTTCTGACTGTGGTTTGGGAAATACAGGCAGATGGTGAGTGACAATAAAAGCTGCAGTGTTTTTATCATTTCTGAGGCTCACAGTCATGTCTGAGTGCCAACAGAAAAAACAGAGCTGGTTTATAAAACTGTCTGTTCACAGGATCCCATAAAGAGCTTAAAGGATCAAAGTTGGTGATTGTGGACGAAAACTCAAATCAGAGTCTGTGTGTGCAGTTGTCTTACTCACTAAATAGTTCGTTAAACCCAAAACACAGACAGGTAAGAACGATTCAGCGTTTTAGTTGTGTAAATGACTGTTTTTTCTTATTTTGTTTTTTTTCTAACTTGTGACATTAAATCTTGATTTTTACATTCCAAACATTGTCTCCATCCACTCAGACTGAGTTCTTGTGGTTAGAGTACTGATTTAAACCCACTGACCTCTTTGAGATGCCCTTTATTTCTGTCCTCCCAACATGTCAGAATGTTATTTTCACCTCTTCTTCACCTGTTTTGATTTACGTTGCTTTAAACTTTAAAGATTATGGTTCACTCATGAAATCAATATGTTTGCGGTGGTCTCTAGTAAGAACGATTGCCTTGTAAGTCGTGCTCAAGTGAAACACAGCTCAGGTGCACCTGTGTAAGGAAGTGCAAGTCATCAGGAGGAGAGGGTTAGCTTCAGACGGCAGGATTTAAAGTCTTATTTCCTGATATTTGGACGTCTCACCTCTGATTGGCCAACAGCAACACGACTCTCACTCTGTTTGCTCTGCAACGTTGATATTTTGTCTCCACAAATAACACAAGCCTGGAGGAGTTCTGCTGTGTGGTGGAGTTGCTAATGCTAAAGATTAGCTTCTGCTAGTCAAGATGTTCTCTGCTGTTTCCTAAACGCTAAACCAACAACAGCCTTCCTCATCGTGAGTCAGGATGGATGAGTCCATGAATGTTAAGTGACAGTGTGACTTAGATCCATCAGGATTTTGAAATCCTAGCGTTTAACCATCAATTTCTATCAGAATCTAATGTGGAAGATCGGTGTTGGAGACCATTTTCACGTTCATCAGTGATGGAAAAACTCTGAGTGACTGACTAAAATAATATTTTAAAGTTTTTTTTCCAGTATTTCACACCAATACTGTTGTTCCTCAGAGGGAGTCAGCTGGGGCTTAAAGAAACAAAGTGAATACGAATTTTAGCTTTGCTATTACAGACCAGTTTATGTGTGCACATCTAGTTACAACCGGTTTTGTTTCCTCTCTTTAAGTGGAGTTTTTCACTGGACGCCGTGGTGGAGCCTTGGCACACATATTCTGTTACGGTTTTTAATTTGCCACAGCCACAAACAGACACACTCAAAATGAAAAGGATTGAAAAGCAAATTACTGTCCCAGGTGAGTCTCCATCGAATGGTTGTAAGGATTTGTCTTGCTGTTTGGACAAAATGACATTCAATAGTACTATTCAATAAAAGTTCAATAATACTAGTATTTATTTTAGTTTGTTTACTCTTCCTGAGGTTTTAACTAATTTAAAATAGCACAGAAGTTAAGTGCTCGCCCCGTAATTGGAAGGTTGCAGGTTCGAGCCCCACTCAGTTTGTCACTGTCACTGTGTCCTTGGGGAAGACACCCAACCCACTTTGCCTGCTGGTGGTGCCAGTGTACGGCAGCCTCGCCTCTGTCAGTGCACCCCAGGGCAGCTGTGGCTACATTGTAGCTCATCCCCATCAGTGTGTGAATGTGTGTGTGCATGGGTGAATGACTGATTGTGTTTTAAAGGGTGTTGGGGGGTTCCACAACTCTAGATAGCGCTATATGAAATGCAGGCTATTTACCATTATCATTTTAAACCTTCTGTGTCTTTTTTTATTTGTTTTACAGATGTTGTTTTTTGGCTTTAATGGTGTTTTATTATTTTAGGTTTTTGTCTTTTGATCATGTTTTAGTTTTCATGTTTTTGTGAAGCATTTTTATCTGTGCTAGGTGCTATATAGCAATCAATCAATCAATCAATCAAAGCTTTATTTATAAAGCGCCTTCCGCAACCCTGTCAGGAAGCCCAAGGCGCTGAACATGGTACAGTACAAAGTTAAATAAAGTGAATAAATCAGAAAATAAAAGCTATTCAAATTACAGATTACGAATTACAAAAAAGGTGAAACATTCTAGTAGAAGACAAATGTGTAAAACAAGGGAAAAAGTGAACTAATGAAAACTGTGAGATAAAATCAACATAAAAAGGGCCAAATTCAAACATGTTCAGGAAACGCGAAGCGGAGGAGGTGGGTTTTTAGGCGACTCTTGAAGATTGGCAGAGATGGGGACAGCCTAACTGAGGGTGGCAACTGGTTCCATAGTGACGGTGCTAGGACTGAGAAAGCCCGGTCCCCGCGAGTACGACACCTAGAACGAGGGACAACGAGCAGGCCTTGGTCAGAGGAGCGCAGAGCGCGTGATGGGGAATGTCTGTTCAGGAGCGTGGCTAGATAGGGGGGAGCACCACCCTGGAAGAAATGAAAAACAAAGACGAGGAGTCTGAAGTGTGAACGATAGCAAACCGGAAGCCAGTGCAGGGAGGCCAGAACCGGACTGATGTGGTCCCATTTCCTGGTCCCAGTCAGGAACCTGGCTGTGCTGTTCTGCACAACCTGTAGGCGACGCAGTGATGACTGACACAACCCTGCATGTAGAGAGCTGCAGTAATCAAGCCTAGAAATTACAAAAGCATGGAGTACCCGCTCCAGGTGGGCTCTTGACAGCACGGGCTTGATTTTTGCAAGGCGTCTCAGGTGAAAGAAACTGGACCGGATCACAGAGTTGATGTGAGCATCAAATTTAAGTCCGGCATCAAGTTTCACCTCCAAACTGGTCACAACTGGTTTTGAGTATGGAGAAAGAGGCCCAAGATCAACATAACGATCCACATTCCTGCTGTTGGGGTGAAAAACAATGAGCTCTGTCTTTCCCTCATTCAGATGCAGAACGTTGGCCATTAGCCAAGACTTCACCTCGTTAACACAGGGCACAAAGGACTGGATAGAGTGACCTTCCTCCTGACACAATGGAGAGTAAATCTGGCAATCGTCAGCATAGGGATGGAATGATAGGCCATGTTTACGAAAGATTGACCCCAGAGGTAGCAGATAAATGGCAAACAAAAGAGGACCAAGGATCGATCCCCGCGGGACCCCTCAGCGGAGCCCCTCCCAAGAAGAAAAAACATCACCCAGTTTAACGCAGAATGTCCTGTTGTGGAAGTATGATCTAAACCAATCCAGAGCTGACCCTTTGATCCCAACCCATCATTCCAAGCGATCCAGTAGAATCGCGTGGTCAACTGTGTCGAAGGCTGCTGTCAGGTCTAACAACAGAAGCACCACAGATGTACCCTGATCTAGTGATAGATAGATGCCATTTAGGACCCTCAGTAGAGCTGACTCTGTGCTATGGCCAGACCTGAACCCTGATTGGAAAACCTCAAACAGATCAGAGTCAGCTAAATGTGAGACCAGCTGTTGATAAACGACTTTCTCAAGCAGTTTTGATGTAAAAGGCAGGGTAGAGATAGGCCTGTAATTTTCTATCACAGAGACATCAGCACCAGGTTTCTTCAGGGTCGGCCGAATAACTGCTGCTTTCAAAGCAGCTGGGACCACACCTGTGCTGAGGCTCCCATTGATAATCTGACCAAGTGAAGGGCCAAGGCATGGAAAGGCAGCCTTCCAGAGACGAGGCGGCAGAACGTCAAGTGGAGAGCCAGATGGCTTCTGCCTCGCAGCAAGCTTACTCAGCTCAGAGTATGAAACAGTATTGAGGAAGCTCAGGGTGGGTGGTGATGGAGGAACTGGAACAGGGTCAACAGAGTTACCAGAAATATCAGCTCTGATGCCTGATACTTTATCTACAAAGAATCTGTGAAAAGCTTCAGAGTTTCCAGCAGCTGTAGGAGACATGAAGCTGGGCTCCTGATACACCAGAACAGAGTTTAGTGTTTTGTAGAGAATCTTAGGATTATTGGAGTTTGTTTCAATGATGTCTGCAAAATAGGCCGTTCTGGCAGCCCTCACTGCATCCTGATAAGCAACCAGAGATGCTCTGAACAACTCATGCGAGACCTGTAGGCCATCCTTTTTCCACTTTCTCTCAGAGGATCTACACGCCCGCCTGCAAGCCCGTGTGACATCAGAGAGCCATGGCTCCCTCCTAGGCCGAGACTTGCACAGTTTGAGAGGGGCAACCACGTCCAGGACCTGATTACAAAATAAATCAAAGTGTTGTGAATAGTGTTCAGTGTTAGATGGATCAGGGTTAAAGGTCTCTAACCTTACAGACATACAGTCCACAAACTTTGAAATAGTTTCTGCATCCAGGGCTCTGAACCTAGTAGCTGGAGCTTCACGCACAGGGACAGGACATGGCAACGTAACATCACAGAGTATTGGAGAGTGGTCAGAGAACACAGGAGGCAAAGTCACAAGGTTCATGACAGGGAGACCAAAAGAGAGAACCAGGTCCAGGGTGTGACCCCTGGCATGAGTTGGGGACGATACCCATTGAGTTAGATTGAATGAATCTAGCAAATTAAAAAAAAGCCTTTAGCAAGCACATTGTCAGGACAGCAGATATGGATGTTAAAATCACCAAAAAATAGGACATAATCATATTTTAGGATGCAGTCTGCCACAAGATCACAGAAATCATTAAGGAAGTTAGAGTCAGTCTTTGGAGGCCGATAAATCAGCACAACGAGCAGGCGGGGGGAGATGCACAGTTCAAATAAGCACAGTTCAAAGGAAGAAAATGACATGGTAGGTGTAAGCTATTTACAAGGAAAGCTGGATTTAAAAACAGCAACCAGCCCTCCACCTCTGCCCCGTGATCTGGGGATATTAAAACAGGAGCAGCCAGGTGGTACCAGCTCCAGTAGGGCGCCTGAGTCACCAAACGGGATCCTTGACTCACAGATGCAGAGAAAACCCAAGTCATGCTGAATAAAAAAGTCACAAAGAATAAAAGTTTTGTTCAGCACAGACCTGGCATTTATATAAATAAACTTTACTTACTGTACCTACTTTACTACTAGTTTCATCGACGGTTGTGTCGTCAGATAACCGAATCATGATGAACACAGTCTTCAATTATCTAAATATTAAATATTAATTATTAATAATAATTGTATTTGTCATTTAAAGAATAATGCTTAAAGGGGACACATTATATAAAAAATTAGCATCCTTTTTGGGCTGCCATGTTGATCTACTGTCTCTATAAACACTCAAAGCATGAAAAAACCTCATCCATCTTTTTCTGTCAGTGTTTGATGTTAGGAGTTATGCCTAAAACAACCTGTTTCACAAGATCACTGTTTGTGATGTCACACATGGGGAAATTAGAACAGAACCACCTCTCACATGCAAGAGATATCTGCTTTTAGAGGACTAGCAGCGTCTCTACTGTGAGCTCATCTCAGATATTCAAGCTTCTCTGCTTATGGCAGCCTGAGTGGGGCGTGGGTGGGCATGGATGGCTCCACCTTGTTTTCTTAGACAGCTCATTCTGGAAGGTACTGAAACTGTCACGAATAACCCCTGCTTCCCATTGGAAGCATTGGCAGCGCAGAACGGCAGCGGAACGTTGTTGTTTCAAATAGAATCTATTAATTTTCTGGCACGTCCCAGAAGTGGCACACCACGCCGCTAAAGATAGGATGGTTCTATTTTTTTACAGCGAGCCACTTCTGGCATACACAGGGCTGCCAACTCTCATGCACTGAGCGTGAGATGCACGCATTTGACCCTCTTCACACGCTCTCACGTCACACCTTCAATCCCTCACACTGATTAATCACCGGTGTTGTGATTTCGTGAGTCCAGTGAGGAAGCTGTTCCACAGCCAAGACTACCGGTGTGTAAAGGAACCGCATTGAAGCTCGCGAGTAAATCGTTTTGCTGCCATTCCACTCTGCTGATGCTTCCAGTGTGAAAGAGGGGTCATACAGCTAAAATCACTTTGTGTGAGACAAATTTGGTGCAAAGAATGTCATGAACATATTTTGTATAGACCATAGAACTATTATAAAAAGTCATGATATGTCCCTTTTAAGGATCCATCAATCGTATTATGTTCTAATGTTTTGTGTCATGACCAGGATGTGGCGACACAAGGATGCAATGGGTTCAGTTGTGTCTGGAGAATGGTAAACATTCCATTTCTCTATAATTCTAATTTTATTGTAGTGAGAGCAAGAAACCAAAAGACTGTTTTGATTTTTAATGCTTAGGTAGTCGATGGGATCCCAGAATTTCCGCTGTGTTTGCCGATAGGAAATCATCAGTTCTTGTGACATTTCACACAGATCAGTATTCAGAGAGATACCACGTTTTGATCCAGAATGATGGCTTGAACTGCTCCAAGACTGTTTCTAAGGTAGTTTGTCACCATCAAATGTACCTGACTGGAGGAAAATAACTCTAATCAGACTTGAACTTGTCTTTGATAAAACCCATAGCAAAATGCAACGTCGCTGAATGTGACCTTTGAAAATGGCTTGTGTCAGCTGTCAGAATGTGATGTACTGGTTATGGTGAGACCATAAAATCCTCTCTTGCAACCAAAGTACTTCTAAATTATTTACCAGCATTCATTAAATCCTCTGAGCTCATCTTATTCTGCTTGTTCAACAGATCCGACCATTTTTCAGGCTCTGCAACAATAATTGCAAAATTGCCATGAAAACATTCACTCTCTGTCACAGTGAGTATGTTTGGACACCAGGGACATAAGAACATATCAAAACACTCAAATGTCGCAATTTTTCAATATATGGTACTGGGTTCATACTTAAAAGCAAAGTATAATTCTTTTATTCTGAATTCATATGCACATATGACTGCTAGGTGGCAGCAGATTTTACCGCCTTCATTCTGGCGATGGTGATAACAATGGATAAGTCTTGGAAGGCCCATTTTTTCCAATTCAAATCAGTCTTAATAAATGAAAACATCATATAGCTTTTAGTATAGCAAAATATCACATCGTCTCCCCTGTACTGTGATTTAGATTGCCAGATTCCTGCTAGAAATTTGCTAGACAGATGGAAAATGTGCAATGCCTCATGCCTTAAAATTGATGTCAAATGTCTTTAAACTTGTACTGTAATCATTTTATTTCATCTGTCTTCAGAAAAACCGCTACTGCCTTTAATCATGTTGACTTGTATCGGGTTGCTGCTGGCTGGCACTTGTTATTCACACCTTAGAGCATCAAAAAAAGGTTTGCCTCCTTTTAAATGAGGTGCATTATTAAAATTTTTAAAAGCTGCTTGAAGTGTTTAACAATTAACGCCTTTAATAATCTCTTAGGACCATTGCTCACGTCTCCAGCTGCTGATGAAAAACAAACAGAGGTTTTCCAGGTTCAGGGGAGGAAACGTGTCCTCATCATCTACTCCCTTGACCATCCGTTGTATAAAAACGTTGTTCTTAAATTTTCCTCCTTCCTGTCGGCAAAATGCGGCACAGAGGTGGTCCTGGACCTGCTGGATTCGACTGGACTGGGAGTGCTGGGTGGAATTCAGTGGTTGGACTGGCACAAAAAACAAATAGAAAACTCTTCTGACAAGATTTTAATTCTGTGCTCACGAGGTGTACAGGCCAAATGGAGAGCCATGTGTGGAGACAAACAGGTTTATCTGAGAGAAGATGTTTCTTCACCCATAGGTGACATGCTTACTCCTTCTCTCTCGCTTCTGGTCCCACATTTCATCCACTCCCAGTCTTTTGAAAAGTACATTGTGGCTTATTTTGATGGCATAAGCTCTGAGGAGGACATTCCCTCACCTTTCAACATTATGGTACGGTACAAGCTGATGAAACAGTTTGAAGAGGTGTTTTTTAGAATCCTCAACACAGAAAAACATGAACCAGGCCGAGTAAAGCTAATCAACGGACTGTCTGAGGATGGATATCATCAGTGTCCATCAGGATGGGCTCTGCAGGATGCCATCGAGGCTTTCAGCGCATATCAGCGAGATCATCCAAGATGGTTTGACGATGAATTACTGGAAAACTCAGATGTGGAGGAGGATGAAACATATTGTATAGACCCAAAAACCTTCAAAAATCATTTGATATATTTTGCTCTTGACTCAACCCATGTAGTCGGTCATGTGGAGGCAAAATAGGGTGATTTCAGTGTCAATAAAACAAAGCTGCATCTGAGTGGTCCTCTGAAGTTAAAGCCCAGAGCCGTCGTCTGTTCTCAGCTGCTTTAGTGAGATTATCAGGATCTGGAAAAATGATATTGTCATGGTCTGCGTCTGTGTCTTCCCTCATGTGTCTCCTTGTGTTCTCCATCCGTCTCTAGGTTCTCCCTTTGTGTCTCCTAGCGCCCTCATGTGTCCTTGTCCTCGTCTCCCTCATGTGTCTCCTTGTGTACCTCATGTGTCCCCAGATCTACAGCCCCTCTAGGCCCCCCCCCCCCCCCCCCCAATCACGTCCCTGTAGTTTTTCTTTCTGTAGTGTTTTCCTTTAGTTTCAGCTGTTCATCTTTTAGTGTGTTTCTTTCCCCCCACCGGTTCTTTAGTTCTCCTTCCTCAGATTATTTGTTAGTTATTTTGCTCTTCTTGTTTTTAGGTTTTGTCTTTAATCTTAGATCATGTTATTTTTCTTCCTCTTCAACTCACTGCCCTCTCTCTGATTAGTAATTGAGTTCACCTGATGTTCTCTCCTCACACACCTGCAGCTCATCTCCCTCTCTTCCTCCCCAGTGTATAAAACCCTGTCAGTGTTGTGTTGGTCCATTGTTCTTGTCAGTCTCGTTCTCGGTCGCTCTCTAGTTCCCAGTGTCGCTAGTTCTCTAGTGTTTTCATTTGGATTTTTGGTTTTTGGCTCCCTGCCTTCTTGGATTACTCCTAATAAAGGATTTTTTAAAATTTCATCTCCCACCTCTGCCTCGTCTGTCTGGTTTTCTGCATCTTGGGTCCTAACTTCCTCCTGAACCAACTCGGGACAGTATAGATGTTACACAGAAAAAAAAGCATTAGTGCTTCATGCATATGCAGTCATTTTGGATCAAAACAAGATAACTGAAAAGTTTCTATCTGGTTTCAGAGCATGCCATGGTACAGCATCTGCATTGTTAAGAGTACAGAAATGATTTACTTATGTCAGTGTTGCTAGTAATGCTGGACCTCACTATGGCCTTTGATACGGTGAATCATTCCATCCTCTTGAGGCATCAAGGATCCGTACTGCAGTGGTTGAGATCATACTGACATAACGTTCAGTGTTCCACTTTCCCCTGGTGTGCCACAAGACTCCTTGTTGGCCCCAGTCTTATTTTCTTTATATTTGCTTATAACGTTTCATTTCATCTGTATGCTGGTGACCTGCACATTTACTTACCGGTTGCCCAATACTCGTCAGGCATGCCCTCTTTCCAAACATGCCTATATGATGTTAAACGCTGGCTGTCTCACAATTTTCTCTCCCTAAATGAGGCAAAAACACCTCATTTATCTTCTTTGGTACCCCAGTCCCACACCTCTGACCTTGTACCTCTGACGGCTCACCTGAACCACGCATTGGGGAATCTCGGGGTGACATTAGGAAATATTCTCATACTCAAAAGACATGGATGCTCTGATTGGTGCCAGGTTTTTCCAGCGCTGCCTATAGCTTTAGCTTTAGTAAAAAACCTCATTAGCTGCAGCAACTTGGAAAATATAATTCATGCCTTTGTTAGTTCACGTTTGAATTATTGCAATGCCTTCTGTATTGGGTTACATCAGACCTCTCTGCACCGTTTACAATGCAGCGGCTCGACCCCTCACTAACTCCTATAGACAAGACCACATCGCTCCCATACTGCACACCTTGCACTGGCTCTCTGTGTGCAGTTCAAATTTTTAATGTTTGTATTTTCTGTTTGTGGTCTTGCTCCTCTGTGTGACCCCCTCATTAGCCAAACAATCTAAGTGCAATGGGAAAATCGCACTTTCGCAGTGGCAGGACCGAAGTCCTGGAATGGTCCACCTCTAAAAACACACTCCATCATGGACCTCTCCCTGTTTAAGACCAAACTGAAACACAAATTTGCTTTTGACATTTGAGATTAGATATCCCTTGGGAGATGGCTTGACTAGCATTTTTTAAATCCTATTTTTATGTTCTGTATTTTAATTTCTGTATTTTTTTATTATTATTATTATTGTCCAGTGCTGTGTGCAATCTCTGGTTGTTGTAAAGCACTTTTATAAATATGATTTTAGTCATCAACTTTCCATATTTTTATCTTGGCACAATACAGTATTATAAGCTTCTGCAAAAAGATAGAGTCAGAGAGGTTCTCACAGTATAGATCAGTAGCTGATGGTTGTGAGTTATGTAAACAATGTTTGGGTTAAAGTTCAGCTTTCTGGGCAAAGTTTGTTGCACTGGAGAAGGTAAGAGACTCATTTGTTTCCTGTAGAAACTATTTTTTAAATCACTGAGTGACTAAATAACTAATAATATGCCATACACCTTGATCGTTCCTATTCTATAACATGTTTGTGTGGGTGGGAATATGTATTTAGTAAATACTTACATGTGCTTTGATTTATTCCTGTTTTCAGATGTTTCAGTTTAGTTTACATAAAAAATGGAACTTTGCAAAAAAGCAATGCCTCATTTTTTTATGTTTTAGCATTAATAAGTGAAACTACCTAAAAAGAAAAAAGAAAAGAAAATCAAGTATTTCATAGTTTAATATAAACAATGGAATAAAAGTGACACTTTTACCACTGAATTATCCCTCCTTTTAAATTATACCTGAACAAACTAATGCTCAAGCATTGTGTCTGACTAAAACAAATGATAACAGATTCTAAATTATGTGACAGGAATCTTTTTACAAAAATGCATACTATGTTTTTGTGTGTGCAAATGTAATCGTTTAATGAATTTTTGTACATAATTTCAACAGTCTAGGAAAGAAAAAAGAGACCTCTGTTCTGGTATTTGGGTTTTTGGGTGTCTGCCTGTGAAAGTGGCCCCAAAAAGGGGAGCGGATGATGAGAATTTGTGCCAGCTAGCTGGGGTAGAGAAACTCCTCACAAAGGCTGAATGGGACTTGTAAATGGCAGTAGCAGAAAACACTGCAGGATTTGGAAAAATTATTAACATTTTCTTTGAAGAAATTCAGGTAAATGTATTTTTAATTGTTGAAAATATAAATAATTGTGCCCTTTAAGAGGTCTGGGGTTAATTTCTACACTTAACTCTCACTACAGATTCTTATTCTGATAGGTGAGCTGAATTCCTAACTTTAGCTTTGAAGATGAATTTGTTGTGTGTGTGTGTGTGTGTGTGTGTGTGTGTGTGTGTGTGTGTGTGTGTGTGTTTGTGTGTGTGTGTGTGTAGGTGTGTGTGTGTGTGTGTGTGTGTGTGGAGGGGGGTTGGGGGGGGGCATCTGGGTTGATCAGTCAGTTTTGGTCTTCAACTGTGGGAAGTCATTGATTTACTCAAAGGAATAGAAAGAAGTGCTAATACGGGTGAAAAGTCAAAGTCTGTATCTTATCAGGGTTTTCCGAACAGAATGAGGATCCTGAAGAGAGCCTGTTCAGTCATCCTGAGAACAGGAGTCAGGAGGTACCAGAACACATGCAACAAGGGTAAATATACCTTCTGACATACATGAAACACAGTTAGCAAAGTCTAATTACAGTATACTAATGAGTGATTAATTACTTTCCTCAGATCTCTTCTTTAAGGTTCATCCATCTGTGTCTCAGTCATTGGCTGAAAACAAGCCGGTGGTTGCACTTGAGAGCACCATTGTCACACATGGCATGCCTTACCCACACAACCTCAGGTGCCCTGCATGACCTTAGATGTAAAAAAAACATTTACTAAACCAAATGAAATAGTTTTGAGGAAAATGTTAATAAGATATGTGTGTGCAGCACTGCCACAGAGGTGGAGGCTATTGTACGAGCTGAAGGAGCCACTCCTGCTACGGTTGCAGTGATCGATGGGGAAATCCGCGTTGGTTTATCGGCTGATGAGCTCAACTATCTCGCCCAGTCCAAGAGCCTGCTGAAGGTTTCACGACGTGATCTCCCTTATGTCGTTAGCAAAGTAAGATCTCAAAGACAAAATATAAAGGTATATTTGTTGTAGGACCAAATGCAGTCTCCTCGCAAGACCTTTTACTCCATTTGTTGGAGAGAGAGCATAAGTCTCCTCTCTTTCTGGTTGGCTCATGGGTCCCCTGAACAAAAAAAAAAAAGAATGTAAGCTTTAAAAGTGATTTTCTCGGCGTTTTGACTTCACACCCTGAATCACACAAATGTACCTTTGTACTACAGTTTAAATGAAAAATAATTATGTGTGTTTTGGATCATGTCTGGAACTTAAACATACATTTATTTGCTTGTAAAAGTTCTTAATTAAAAAAAACAACAAATAAATATTTGAGAAATGTCTACTATATATAAGACCGTGTAGAGGATCAGAGCAGACCAGTTCAGGTACAAGCACAACACAGGGTCATGTGACTGAAACCAAGCGACTGCGCAGCCGGATTGTCATTCATGAATCCAACAGAAGAAGGGAAGAAACTGCTCTACTGACAAGAGGTTCTGGTCTAAATGGATCTGAGCCTCCTGCCAGATGGGAGCGAGTCAGAGACTGTGTCTAGTCTGACATGGGTCTGCTGGGTCCTGTATGGAGGGCCGTTTGCAGTCAATGGCCTTCACAGCAGAGCACATGACACGCTGCAGTCTTTTCATGTCCCTGATGGTGGCTCCAGCATACCACACGGTGATTGAAGAGGTGAGGATGGACTCGATGACAGCGGTGTAGGACTGCCTCACCAAATGTACTGATAGGTTGAATTTCTTCAGCTGCATCAGGAAGAACATCCTCTGCTGGGCCTTTTTTATAATGGAGGTGATGGTGGAATCCCACTAGAGGCCTTGGGTGATGGTGGTGCCCAGGAAGCGACATGAGTCCACCATCATGATGGTAGCTGGACAGAGTTATGGGGGTGGAGCTGTGTGCTTCCTAAAGCCATCACCCTTCAATAAGTACATCAGGACACATGGAGTCTAAAGCATGAGGCTCTTGTATCATGGTGTAAAATGGAAATGTTATTTTTACTGAAAAGTGAACTACCTGAGCTTGTAATGTTTTAGTGGTTTATTTAAATTTTAACACAACTCTTTTTTAGGGTCTCTCTGGAGGAACGACAGTCTCAGCTACCATGATAGCAGCACACAGAGCTGGCATCTCTGTTTTTGTCACAGGAGGCATTGGAGGAGTTCATAGAGATGGACAGAACAGTGAGCTGAACTGTGACTTTTACACTTAGTCACAAAAACTGTCACCAACTTCAGATCATTTCACAAAAATCTTCTTTGAAGGCTTGTCTTTGACTGAAGGATCATGTCCCCAGGCCTGGACATCAGCGCTGATCTGACAGAGCTCAGCAGAACTCCTATCGCCGTGGTCTCTGCTGGAGTCAAGTCCATCTTGGACATTGGGCGCACCCTGGAGTTTCTTGTAAGAAAACACGTTTTGGACATTGGACTTGAAACAGCTGCTCACATTTGAATAATTACATATTATAACATTTCAATATAAATAGGAGACACAGGGTGTGTGTGTGGCCACTTACGGACCATCAGAGGATTTCCCAGCCTTCTTCACTCCACACAGTGGATTCACTTCTGCATACAATGTTCACAACCCTAGTGAGGCTGCAAAGCTCATTGGTAAACACAACTCAAAATCCTGGACAGTGATCGACTGTGCTAACACTCTGAGATGTTTCACTTAAATAGTTTTCTTCAATTCAGAACAACCACTACTCTACAAGTTTCCTTCTAACTCACTAAAGCAACTATGTCTATGTCATCAGCTAGCGCCTTGCTGCTGGGTCTTCAAAATGGTGTCCTGATAGCAGTGCCCATCCCAGAAGAGCATGCGGCAGCAGGTCAGCAGATAGAGGAAGCTATACAAGCTGCAGCGACTGAGGCGAGGTGCAGAAAGCTTGTTTCACGTTGCCGTGTGCAACCAGTGTGCAAAAGCCATCTGGTTTTAAGATACTGATCTGTAATGTCAGATGAACTTTTCCTTCTGATTATAGCTTTCTTTTCTCTCCTCTCAGTCTCAAAGGCATCACAGGTAAAGATGTAACACCCTTCATTCTTCAAAAGGTCAGTGATCTGACTCAAGGAAAGTCCCTGCAATCCAGTATCCTTTCAAATCGCTGAATCACTCCAAAGCTGCACACAGAGCTTAACCACACGAAGCAGAACAAGCATCTGCTGAATATCACTGACCAACAATCTGTAACTATTCTGTCCTTGATGTTTCGTGTTTGAAGACATTGCTCTGATTCGTAACAATGCTAAAGTTGGCAGTCAGATCGCTTGTGCATTGTCAAAACAAGTGAGAGAAAAAACATCAAAAAGTCTAATCAGTCAACCTGGAAAAGTAACAGCAGACTCAGATGTTGTGAGTAAGAACATGTTTTACATTGTCTAAAAGTCATATGTGGTGCAGCAAGATGGTGGTTTTGTTTTGCAGGTTGTCATTGGAGGAATTAATGTTGACTTCATAGCTAAAGGCAAAACAAAAGAACTTCAAGTGAGTTTGTTTGCATCATTCATCCTTGGCAGTGCAGATGATAGAAGTGGTTTCTGAGAACACTTCCTGCATCTTTCAGTTTGGACAAACCAACCCAGGAAGCGTGGTTCAGTCATTTGGTGGTGTGGGACGAAACATCGCAGGTGTCTTGTTTTTTTTTTTTTTTTTTTTTTTTGCTTTTTATCTGATTTGTGCACGTTTTCATCAGTATATCTGATTCTGTCTCACACTTTGCTTTTGTCCTTTCTTTGAGACTCTCTGAGTAGATTAGGCCACAAACCCTTGTTCATCTCAGCCACTGGAGCTGATGCAAACGGTGATGCTGAGTTAAACTACTGTAAACATATGGTGAGTGGTCAGACCTAAGCACGGTGAAACATTTTCCGTTTTACACAGAAAACCACGTTTTTCCTGTTTTTGTTCAGAACACAAGTGGTGTGGCTAGGCTAGATATGCACGCCACAGCAACATACTGTGCTGTTATTAATGAAAATGGAGAGCTGAGTCTTGGACTGGGAGACATGGACATCCATCAGGAAATCACAGAGCGATATGTAAGTTGCACTGATGGATTATACATTTAAAAGACTTGTTTTGATGCCATGTATATTTGTAGAAGCACATTAACTTTGTAGAGTATTTTTTATTAATGTTCACTTCATTTTAAACCATTTTAATGACTTCTAATTAAAATAAGCATTTGCAAGAGAAAAACGTATGCAAAAGGAATACTCTTAACAGCATGACCGAATTTAGGTTGTTTCCTATTTTCGTATAGGATTATTATAGTAAACAAATGTCTGCAGCTTTTCATAAATGTCATTGTAATTTTGAGAATATTTAAAAGGGCAGTAAAATGTAAAACCACGTTAACTTTAATGTTGCTGAATAAAGGCAACTTGGGTGGTCAAATGTAGCATAGCAAAAGTCAGAGCTGAGGCTAACCTGCTTTATCTGTAAATTAGCAATTCATGAAAGGCAAGGGACAAACAGTTGTTTCTGACCAAAGTTTCATATTAAGCCACATCTGCAAGTTCTAACCCAACTCGATGTCTAGGATGTGTGAACACTGGTCGCAATAATGTTAACCGCAGAACAACGCTAGGCTGAGCTACAGCAAACGCTAGCCTGAGCCACTGCTAATGCTAGGCCAAACTACTGTTCACACTAAGCTGAACTGCTGGTAACGTCCTTGTGGATGCAAAACAAACAAAAAACAAAACAACTGTTGAAGCACTCACGTTCCAGTATTTACTGTGATACTTTCAGTAAACAACTGCTCTGCAAGCCGCGGGACAGTCATTTGGCTGAACGCTACATATCCCCACTTCACATCTGGCAAAATAATGGTAATATTGCAGGCTGAAGGTTCCTTGTTCAGTAGGTCATTCCCACTTCACAACCATCCTTCACCCCTCACGCCCCCTTACACACAAATTACAGAGTTTACTGCCTTAACTAGCATTGTGAAGCCATCTGAAAAAAAAACAAACAACATTTCGCTCATTTTGTACTCATATCTTGGCTGAGTGGATGGGGTAAACAAGTGGTTCTGTAGGGTTAATTCATGAGTTTGAGGCCCAATCTTAAAACTCGTAATGCACCCTGCGGTTTTCAGCAAAGTGCGCTTGGAGGAAGTGTGCGGTAAGGCTTCGAGTGCGTGTTACACAAGTGTGCAAAGATTTGCCAAATTGAGAAACACATTCTCACACCTGAAGTATCGAAAATTGACAATGGGGAGGGAGTCTCAACGCGTCGGGGGGGGGCGACACGCTGCGCCAGAGCGTCGGTTTCCGACGCCTGAGGTAAAACGGAGATTTGACCAAATCCTGACCTTTACCCTCTTGCTATTTAACATTCCCCTCACCCCAATCCTGCTCCCTCATGCAAAACTTTGTTCCTGGTTTTAACATCTCTCTCAACCATGGTGAACGGGAATTTTAGAATGAGAAACAGAGTTAATGTTAGGATGGGGGTGAGGTTCCCCCAATGCAGCTCTGGTTGAATAGCAGGAGGTTAGAGGTTGAATGTCAGTGAAACGTGCGTTTTACCCATTGACATATAAATATTGGACAATGGGTTTCCATACATTAAATAACATGTTTTGGAGGATAAATGGGAGGTGGCCACCACCGCCATTTTGACCGTGTCACAGGTTCCGTCAAGCTCAGACAATTCCACAAAAGGGAAGAGAGGTGGAGCTGAGGGTGGGGCTGTAAGGCTGGGATCAACCAAGCCCCCACAATGCAGCTCTAAAATTGAGGCAAACCTGGAAATGGAATAAATTGCAGTTCCACCCTCATCCGCTGGGGGCTGGTGCCAGAAGGAGCAAATCCTCATTGACTCCCACGTTAAAAATACCAATTTCACAGCAGAAATAAACATGTTTACAGCCTGGGTGATTTTTTTTTCTCACTCTTCTGTTTAAGTGTATTAAAAGCCTAAAATTCTGTATAATTAATGAGCATCAGACCCACGTGATCGCCACCTCAGACCCACGTGACCACAGAGCTAGCTCCGTGGAAAGGCCTCAGTAGAACCTCGGTCTGGCCTGGAAACTGTTACGGCATTTTGAGTCTCTGTGTTTGTGTATTCTTGTTTGTATATTATTTGTGCAATTGTTGGACAAAATGACTTGCTGTGGCATGAATTGCACTAATAGAGCGTCCAAGGAGTCTCCACTTCATTTTTTTTTTGGTAAGTAAAATGATATTTATGTATTTTAGGTCACTGCTGAGCTGAGCTTAGATTTGAACATGTACTGTTTAACCATGAAATTTAAATGTAATAGGGTAAAACCCAGTGCATTTAACATAATGCTGCACTTTAGAAAATGGGTTGAAATATAACATGTTGGTGGAGCTGGGTTCCGACTATCGGCTTGTGGAGCTCTCGGGAGACCGATGTTTTCCACCCGTTTCTCCCGTGGCTTTGCGGCTTCTGTTTGCTGCGCGGATTGCCGGCTGTTTCTGCCTGCAGCTCTGCGCATCTCTGTCTGATCGCGGCTTCTGTTTGATGCGCGGGCTGCCGGCTTGTGGAGCTCTGGGATGGAAACCTTTCCACCCGGTTCTCCCCAGCGGCAGCTCTGCGCATCTCAGATCGCAGCGGCGCTGCTGTGCGGCTGCCAGCTTGTGGAGGTCTCGGAGACCTCTGTGTTTGATCCGGTTTCACCCAGCGGTCAGCCCGGCGTATCTCTGACTCAGAAGCTCTGGTGTTGTGCACAGTTAACTCCAGTTGTAGCTAGGTTGCTACCTCCGTTAGCTTAGCTCCCAACTCCGCGTTAGCTTTAGGTTAGCCAGGGTTAGCTTCAGGTTAGCTTGTAGCTAGTTTGACCGGGTGTCGTCAGTTGATCCCAGCCTTACAGCTCCACCCTCAGCTCCTCCTCTTTTCCCTTTTGTGGAATTGTCTGGGCTTGACGGAACCTGTGATACGGTCAAAATGGCGGTGGTGGCCACCTCCCATTTGGCCTCAAAAACGTGATATTGGAGCCTATGGAAAGGAGATGTCCAGTATATATATGTTGATGGGATCAACTGACGATACCCGGTCGAACTAGCTACAAGCTAACCTGAAGCTAACCCAAAGCTAACGCGGAGGTGGGAGCTAAGCTAACAGAGGTAGCAACCTAGCTACAACCAGAGTTAAAGTTAAACTTAAACTTAAAGTCCCATTAGTTGTCACACACACTGATGTGAGTGCGAAATTTGTTCTCCGCATTTGACCCATCCCCTGGGGGAGCGGTGAGCTGCAGACACAGCGGTGCTCGGGAACCATTTGGTGGTTTAACCCCCCAATCCAACTCCTTCACAGCCTACTGGTTGGGCAGCACACCAGACTAAAGACCAAAGGTGACAGATCATTTGCTGCTGTGGCCCCCAGACTCTGGAACTCTCTCCCCCTGAGCCTGAGATCAGTGGACTCAGTGGTCTCCTTCAAAAAGCAGCTGAAGACTCACTTGTTCAAGCTGGCTTTTGTATGAACTTCTTCAACCCCTCTCTCTTTATTCTGCTCTCCCTACCTATTCCACCTTCCTCAGGATCCACTGATTTCCCTCTTTCCTATTCACTCTCTCTCTTTCTTAACATTTTTTCTTTTAAATCGCAATTGCTTATTTTTGCTCATTTTAAATATATTTTTTGACATTTTCTAAATGCTTTTTTATATTTTTACTTTTTTTTTGTGAAGCGCCTCGTGATTTTTATCTTGAGAGGTGTTATAGAAATGATATTTTCTTCTTCTTCTTCTTAATGCTGAGTGTCAAGCAGGGAGGCATTGGGTCCCATTTTTTCAAAGTTTTTGGTATGACCCGACCAGGAATCAAACCCTGATCTCCCAGTCTCAGGGCGGACACTCTACCACTAGGTCACTGAGCTGTGCACAACACCAGAGCTTCTGAGTCAGAGATACACCGGGCTGACCGCTGGGTAAAACCGGGTGGAACACAGAGGTCTCCGAGAGCTCCACAAGCCGGCAGCCGCACAGCAGACAAGCGCCGCTGCGATCTGAGATGCGCAGAGCTGCCGCTGGGGAGAACCAGGTGGACAGGTTTCCATCCCAGAGCTCCACAAGCCGACAGCCCACGCAGCAGACAGAAGGCGCGATCAGACAGAGATGCGCCGAGCTGCGGGGAGGGGAGAACCGGGTGGAAAACAAAGGTCTCCCGAGAGCTCCACAAGCCGATAGTCGGAACCCAGCTCCACCAACATGTTATATTTCAACCCATTTTCTAAAGTGCAGCATTATGTTAAATGCACTGGGTTTTACCCTATTACATTTAAATTTCATGGTTAAAAAGTACATGTTAACATCTAACTCAGCTCGGCAGTGACCTAAAATACATAAATATAATTTTACTTACCGAAAAAAATGAAGTGGAGACTCCTTGGACGCTCTATTAGTGCAATTCATGCCTAAGCAAGTCATTTTGTCCAACAATTGCACAATTGTCAAAAAAGATTACACAAACACAGAGAATCAAAATGCTGTAGCAGTTTCCAGGCCAGACAAGGCTCTACTGAGGCCTTTCCATGGAGCTAGCTCTGTGGTCAAGTGGGTCTGATGATCATTAATTATTCAAAATTTTAGGCTTTTAATGCACTTAAACAGAAGAGTGAGAAAAAAAATTCACCCCCCTCAGAGTTGTCATGAGTGTAAACTAGATCATTTAAACCAAAAACATGTTTTGGTACCAGGCTGTAAACATGTTAATTTCTGCTTTGAAATGGGTATTTTTAACATGGAAGTCAATGAGGATTTGCTCGCTTCTGACACCAGCCCCCAGCGGATGAGGGTGGAATTGCAATTTTTGTCACTTCCGCGTTGGCCTCAATTTTTCACCCACATTGTGGGGGCTTGGTTTTACCGCGGGCGTCGGATGCTCTTGCAATCCCAACGTGTCGGAAACAAATGCTTGGTGACCCTCGTCAGTTTTCGACGCTTCGAGAATGTGTTGAAGTGAGACTGGGAGCACTTCATCATTGCTTGTAACGCATGCCGGCACCCTGCTTGCTGTGCAATTTTTTATTTTTTTTAAACCTTTATTAACACCTTTCAAACATACAACCAAACAATTATTTGAAATAAATTTACATTCATTGCTGGCTTGTCTAAAACATTCAGAGCATTAACTAATCATCCTAAAATGAACCACTTTCATCAGAAAATACATATTTTCAGAAAAGGGACTTTATCCTTGTCTCCCGCTGCAATGGATTGTGGGTACTACCCTTCGCCCAAGTTTGCATTGATGCAGACTTGGGTGAAGTGTGGATCAAGGGTGCAAATGGGGCGTGATCAACTTCTGCACTTGATAATCGGGACATTTGCACCCCTGGTCCGGACTGCACATCTGAAGGGTACAAGGGTGAAAGAGTGAGCATTGGGACTGGGTCTTCGTCAAGCCACGTATGAGTGCTTCTGGGTCACTGTGAGCACCAACAACATTTCTCATGCTATACAGAGGCTCAAAGCACTGTTTCTAATTGTAAATAAACAGCTATCCACTGCCACTTTAACAGGTGTCACAGTTTGAGAGGCAGATTTCTTCAGCTCCTCTTGTGTGTCTTGATGGAAACATCCCAATCTCCACCATCAACTATGTCTGCTTGCTTGCAAAAAAGCACAACATAAATGGTAAATATAAAGAAATCATCTGAATTTAGATGACTATTATTGAAGGTGTTTTACCTGATTTAAACCCCCAGTTTGGTTTGAACCTACGGACAAAGAAAAGGCTCGTAAACCCTTCCTGTCTGATGCCTGGAAGTTTTTGTCCTATTCATCTCCAAACTTGGCAGAGCTGTGCATCATGAATAAAACCTTGGGTATCTCCACCCCAGATGGTAAAATGTTTGTTTCTTTTCTTTTAGGTTTTTATCATTTTTACAGCAAAATTGTCTATTCATGAGTCAAACCCAGTTTCCACAGTTGGGTTCTTGCAAAGAAAGCAAATGATTTAATGTAAGCTGTGGCTGTAATCTCTTGGCAGAGCTGCCAAACACTCTCGATGAGATCCTGAAAGCTGCTGCGGCTCTTTCACGCCCTCTTCTGGAGCATCTTCACTGTTTAGTGGTGACTCTTGGACCTCATGGTGTGCTGCTGTGTGGAGAGCATGAAGCAGGCACCATTAACTTGCAACCAAGAAAACTGAAGAAAGTGAGTACTAATCAATATGACTTGATGATGATGGTCGCTAGTAAGAGATATCTTTGCTGCACTCGTATTTGCAGAGGAAGCAGATTTGTGCTCTACACTACCCAGCGATGACTGTGACCCCAGAGGAGATACTGAACGTGTCAGGCGCAGGAGACAGGTGCTAAAATTTACTTTCACTTCTGAGTAATATTTCTGTTTAGTTTTCACACACTCTCTTTAGGTGTGTGAACTTCTCTAATTCTTTTTTAATTCTTTAAGATAAGAAAATATTCAGAAGAGTTTAAATTAGGACATTAATTTTCACTTTGTTGGCAGTCTTGCAGGAGCTTTAATAGCAGGGATTCTCCAGGGGAAAGACACTGACACCTGTGTTCAGATGGGGCTCCTGGCTGCAAGGATGTCCCTTTCCTCACCACACCCCATCTCCCCGATGCTCACCTTAGACTCTGTGGATCCCAACAAAATCCAGACACAAAAGTGGCAAAAGCCAACATTTGTTAAAATAGATCAAGATTCAGGCATACATTTTTGAGTTTTACTTGTAGTGGGCTATTTTAATCAAATCTTGTTTAACTTAAAATCATACAAGAAGTGGATTAAATTGTAACTGTGTTATTGAATTTTAATACAGTAAGTTTTATCTTTTCAGATTTGATACTTTCTGTTATTCTGTAATAAAATACTTGAAGTTACTCTGACTCATCTTTCACTGGGATGCACAACAAATCCTTAAATTCATATTAGCAGATCATTTTAGCTCAGAGGCATACAATGTCTCAGCATGCAGTTATTTTTGTTAATATTGGTATTTGAATTAGTCTTGTTTTTACAGCGGTTACGTTAGACAGGCTGCTTTTATTGGGCAAACAATAGGACCGTAACAAATTATGTATCTACTTGATCCAATAGATGCTCGGAGAAAAATAACGGGTGATGTGACCACTTGAAATATGAAACTTTGACATTTATAAACTGATTCAGGTGTTGGCATGGTACTTGGGATGTGTGATATAAGAAAATAAATCTTTATAAGAAGATAATTTATCATTTTTTTCAAGCTTTTATGCCATCATAAAATATATATTTTTGTAATGGGTAGAAAATATATTTTGGAAATCATAATAATTGTATTAATTAAATGTTTATATTTATATATAACATAAAGACAATAAATTTATACTTATTTTCGTTTTTTTCCCCATTGCTTTTATTTCAACCCATATGCAGCTTGTAATATATTTTTTTTTTTTTGTTGTTTAAAAACAATAAAATAACTATATAATAAAATCAAATTTTAAAAAATAGAAGGCATGCTACACATTAAAATCGTGCATTTCAAAATTTAAGACATTCTCATGAAAACTCGTATTATAAAAATAATCTTTTTCCTGAACACTATTCAATGTCAATATATTTCAGATGTTTTGTTGTTTAAGAGAACTTATTGGTGCTTATAATTGAACTGTTTATATGCTGCATTATGCATCTAACACAATGTGTATAATACATGTCATTCTAATAAACACAAAAGTCAAACCAGTCCCTTTTCTGGTTCAAATCTCATCTTGACCTCAGGGTTGAGGGTGGAACACGTTTAAAAACTCTGTTTCCCAAGTTGCATCTCTTCATCTGCGCAGACTCAGTACTAACGAATACTTGCCCCTCTCCCTCCTCCCTACTATAATGCTAGCTAAGATGGTGGTTTGAGCGTAATTTCTCTTAACAATACCAAGAAAAGAAAGGGGCAAAATATCTTTATAGCATTTTGATTATAGCAGATCAACCCGTCTACAGTTATCGTAAGTGACCATTTATAGAAATCTTGCCATTTCACGTAGATTGGCTTCCAGCCCCCGCCCAATTTGGTGTGACTCCTTTGGAGTGGAATCCTCAGCTAAATACGGACAGGGTAAGTAACGCTAACGTTAGCTGAACAAGTCGGGTTCCGTCTTACTTCAGCGAATAAAGGGCAGGCGTGCCTCTTATGAGCTTATTTACTAACTTAATGTTCTTTTCCATGCCTGTTGAACAATTCTACAGGTAATATTTATGACTTTGAGCGATGTCAGTTGTTTATAAGGCCAACAACTTGCTTCCAGATGAGCGCTAGCTTTGCTAGGCCGCATCGTAAGCTCGGCTCCAAAACCTCGTACATTTTAATGAGAATGTAGCATAGAAGCTAATCGCGCAGCAAAAACCAAGCTGTCACTTGTATCTGCACCGTAGCGTCATGTCAGTTTTTTTTATAATAGCGGACTTCACTACTAAGCTAGCTATCATTAGTGTGTGTTTTGTTGTTGTGATTACAATAGTAGTTCAAACGGTGTTAATAGTCAGACCGGCTTTGTCAGGTAACATCTGTCATAATGTACGATCCAAAAGACAGGAGCAGTCTCCGGCTAAAGTTACCAGCCTGGTTTATCTGCCTCCTTCACCGGAGGTGTCAGAGAGGCAGAGAGACGGACAGCGTCTTGTGAATGTTTGCTTGTTAACAGCGTACTGACAAGCATCTTAAACGCTGGCATGTCTTCTGAGTTAACATCCCCCGTGCGGGCTTTTGTCCGTCTGGGTTTGTCACGAAGTGGAATCAACTGGCGTGAGTGTTGTCATGTAGAAATCAGTCTCGATGCCATCAGGAGTTTCCTTTAGAAATCAACCACAGTGAAATGTCTCCCATCAAACGTTTGTCACGACAGTGTTGTCAGCCTACAGATGCATCCTATCGAGCTGAGTTTTCAGCTCGTTTTTTCACCTTGTTGATGTGTGGTCATTTGTTCATGAAGACGTCCAGCAAAATGCATCTGTCTCAGCAAATTTTAAACCCATGAAGATAACACCAGAACATGATGAATGTGTTTGTTCTGCTTTAAGAGCATCACTGTGGTTCATAGACCTGAGTGATGCTTTCAGACCGTCTTGTTCCATCAGCAATTCTAAACTCAAGCTTATTAAATGTACTGATGTGAAATCCTAAGTAATAGTTGGCCAGTATGAAATGGTGCTCGTTAAAATTGGTAAAAAAAAAAAAAAATTCAGATTTTCGGGGTTTTATGCCACCAAATTTTTATTTAAAGAAAAGCAGCATATAATATACAAAGAAAATCCATAAATGAGTGTTTGTTGACATCACGAGTTGCATTACAAACCCATACACCTTTACATCACTGTGAACACTTTTTCTGTTTGTTTTAAAGCCAAGTAGCAAAGAAGAGTGAGAGCCTTGAAGATGTTATCAAAAAGGCAGAAAGGAGTGTCGTATAAACCAACACTATTGAGCTGTGATGGTTTTAGTCAAGCATAACAATCATTTTGGAAACTAAAATTTTGCAAAAATGTGTTTTATTATATTTAAACATGTGTTCCTTCGATTCTGCATTTGTGTTTCTACCTTCTACCATATACAGGTTTTATTCTGTTTTTATTTGCAGCAGCAATACTCCTACATGCATCATTCAACAGCACCATTATAGTCTTTCTTTACACCATCAGACCAATATTTATTTTAATAAAAAGCTGCTTCCTGTCACACTTCAGGCCTCTCATGTATTGCTGTTCTTTTTTTTAATGTTGCGTTTCTTCAGAGGTTCATTTAAGACGTTTCTGATCCAGTTGTCACACCAGTTTCCTGACTTGTGCATGAAATGCTTGTTCTAACAGTTTTCTATTTCTTTACCACCCTACACTTCATGGACTGAATAGCTCTTTGACTTCCTCAAAGAAAGATCACCCGCTGTTCTGCCTTTGATTATACATTTGAAACTGTAGATTGATTGGAGGTGGTGATTTGACTTACGTTGTTTGGGTTTTCTTTTGTCAGCCTGCTTCTTGATGAGGTAGATTTCACCTCGGGTCATGCTCATGGCACACTTGTAACTCTGTTCCATCAGGCTCATTCCCCCCTCTCTGCTATTTTATGAATGATGGCATTAACAAACTGTGCCTATTTCCAGGTTAACGAGGTTTTCCCCTGAAACAGTCTGTTCTAAACCTTTTATTTATTTATTTATTTATTGCTAATTAGAGCATCTTGTATTTATTTGTGGTCATATTTTTCAGAACAAATCTTTTAGTAGGAATTAAGGAATTCTGAAAGACAAAACTGGGAACAAAAAGAATCTAGTGGTGGAAAATCAAACTCTGAAAAGGATTTTAATGAATTTCTTACAGCTCTGATTAAATGCTTTTGAGAAAGTAAAAATGTGGTTAACGTTGAGTTTGTGAGCATAACATTAAGTGTGAGAAAATGTTGACTAATTTCATTTCGTGCTTGCGTCCCTCTGGACGTGATGGATAATGTGGATTTGTCACTGGAGGAACATTTTGTTTCATGTAGCGTAAATAAGTTGAGTCCAGCATCAGGAATAGTTGTGGCGGTGCAGTTTGGCACATTTATGAAACTGAACCAGGATCTTAATTCCCAGCCTGTGGCCCGCCCAGGTTAGCTCAAATCAGAATATTTGGAGTTTGTAATGAAGAACTCTGCTGATAAACCGGTCCAACCTACTATTAATGAAAGTAACGTTGTTTTCTGTCTGTTCCCTGTAGCCTCGTGTTCTGTGACCAGCCTTAGTACAACTCAACCTCACTGTGCACTAGGATGTCCCACAGCCCTGAAATGAAGGACGACCCCATGGAGTGCCCTCTGTGCATGGAGCCGCTGGAGATTGACGACGTCAATTTCTTCCCTTGCACCTGCGGCTACCAGATCTGCCGCTTCTGTTGGCACCGCATTCGCACAGACGAGAACGGCCTCTGCCCAGCCTGCAGAAAGGTGAGGGGAAGATGTTCGGTTTACCAGGATCTGTGTCAGCGTTGGGAGTTTTAACTGCAGCTCATCACGTTTTACTGATTCCAGCTCCAGTCTTAAGTTTTGAGCTAGCTCTTTGTGTCTGTGTGTAGCCGTACCCAGAGGACCCGGCTGTGTACAAGCCTCTGTCACAGGAGGAAATCCAAAGGATAAAGAACGAAAAGAAGCAGAAACAGAATGAGAAAAAACAGAAGGTGACAGAAAACCGCAAACATCTGGCAAGTGTCAGAGTGGTGCAGAGAAACCTGGTGTTTGTGGTGGGGCTCTCGCAGCGACTCGCTGACCCGGAGGTGAGTACGAATATCTGCAGCTAGTGTTATCTCAGCTCAGAGTTGGTACACAAGTCCTGGGTGTGAAAACGATAAACTGCATGTCCTAAATGATTTTGTTTTCCTCGCAGGTCCTGAAACGACCAGAATATTTTGGTAGATTTGGGAAAATCCATAAAGTGGTCATCAACAATAGCACATCTTACGCAGGGTCACAGGTGAGAGGTGTTAAAGGAGTTATCACTGAATTAGTAAATAGACGATCACATTAATAATGGGTCCTCCTGCAGCAGAAAGCACCTGAACACAAACGGACGTAGAAGTTTTGTTTGACTTCCATGTTTACCTTCATTTTTGTGTTTGTTCCTCAGGGGCCCAGTGCCAGCGCTTACGTCACTTACATCCGCTCTGAAGATGCTCTAAGAGCGATACAGTGTGTTAACAATGTGGTTGTGGATGGCAGGACACTCAAGGTAAGAAGCTACCCTCTGTTTTTCTTAGGTTTATTCTGGTTTCCATCGTTTTTACTACAATTAGGATACATTGTATGTGTGTAAAAGAGAAGTATCAGGTGTAGCTTCTATTTTCCTGCATCATTCTGAAGCATCACATAAAGAATATCCTGCTCTCCCCTCACAGGCTTCTTTAGGAACAACTAAATACTGCAGTTACTTCCTCAAAAGTATGCAATGCCCCAAACCTGACTGTATGTATCTACATGAATTAGGGGATGAAGCAGCTAGCTTTACAAAAGAGGAGATGCAGGTATGTGTGAACAGAAGATGGAAGTTTTCTTCCTTGACCTAAATTGGACGTTTTATTTAAGCAATTTTGTTTTTCAAGGCTGGGAAACATCAAGAATACGAGCAGAAACTCCTCCAAGACCTCTATAAAATAAACCCTAGCTTTCTACAACCTCCAGCCTGTGGAGCGGAGAAGTCCAAGAGTAAACCCAACTCCACACAGAGGTCAGTGCGGTTCTGCTTTTGGCTCGTCGCTCGGTCACAGCGTAGTGCTTGATGCTTTCATTTGCTCCTGCTTTATGACAGATCCAACAGTAGCAATGGTAAAGACGGGTGGCCTACACTGTCCGGACATAACAAATTGGCCAACGGACTTTCAGAAGACCGCAAGTCCCCTCCGCTGCTAGACTATCTAGACCAGGAAGCTAGTAATTCAGACGGGCTAGAATCAGAGCTGGTTCCTGGCCAGCGTCCTGCCTTGTCCCCTTTCTCCTCCACCTGTGACAGTAATAGGTAATGCCACTAGTTAGAAAAGGGTTTACATGTTGTGTGTATGAAATGTTCTGATCTGTGTGTGTGCTCTCTGCTCTCAGTCCTAATGAGAAACCTTCTGAGTCGATGGCTTTGGTGAATGGAGAGACTTTACAACAGGTGACGAGGCTTGTTTGGTTTGTTTGAATAAACGACGAAGCAAAGTGGAGTGGGATTAGCGGGAATCTCAAACGTATGTGTCTGGTTTTGTAGATACCCACCAGTGATTCTCCCTCCCCTCCCCCGGGTCTAACCAAACCCATCTTGGTGGTGCCTATCAGCCTGTCGGACATTTCGGCCCGTTCGCCCTTCGAAGGAGCTGCAGCAGAGTCCCAGTCCCTCTTTTCAGACAACAGCAACTTCAGACATCCTAACCCTCTCCCTGCTGGCCTGCCCCCCTTCCCCAGCTCCCCCCGCGGCAGTTCTGACTGGCCCATGACTCCCGAACCACAGAGCCTCTTTACATCAGGTATTCGCTCGTTTCATCGCTGTAATTGTGGCAGAGATGTCAACTGGTTTAGGTGGAGTAAATTGTTTACTTATTTATTTATTTCAACATAGAGGTAACAGTAGATTGGTCTTGATCTTCTAACCTTCTATGTTGTTGTTTTTTTTCTCCTCCGTCAGACACAATACCGGTGTCTTCCTCAACAGACTGGCAGGCGGCCTTCGGCTTCGGCTCGTCCAGTAAACAGCAGGATGATGATCTGGGCTTCGATCCCTTTGATGTCACCCGCAAGGCTTTAGCCGACCTAATAGAGAAGGAGCTGTCGGTGCAGGATCAGAGCCCCTCGTCCCCCGGGCCTCTCACCCAAGGCAGTGGCCACGGGCCCGGCCTGCCACCCTCCAACCCAAACCCCGGCTCCTTCCACCACTTCTCCAGCGGCCTGCCGCGGGTCCACCACCTTCACCACAGAGCCATCTACAGCTCCTTCAGTTTCCCCGGCGGTCACAACAGCCAGGCCAGTCAGCAGCAGCCACCAGCCGCCAGACACCCCTGGATGGGCGTCCCCACAAGAAATAACCTCACACATTTGAACCACTCAGTCAGTGCTGCCTCACACAGTAACATCCTGGACCTGAATCTGCCCCCTCAGCACAATACGGGGCTGGGAGGGATCCCCATCTCAGGTATCAGACACCTGGGTCACCTTGGTGGCTTTTGTGCTTCCCAATGTTAGAACAACACATTAAAACAGAGACTGAAGATGAAGATGGGAGGAGAGTCACAGCTAGACGTGATTAGTGTGTATTGATTTTAAATGAGAGGAGAATAGATCAGCTCTGGGCTAAATCAGTTCTCTGTGATCTAAACACATTTTTTCTGTTTTCTCCTGCAGAAAACAGCGGCTCTATAGACGGATTAAATGTGAAAGAGTGGCAAGACGGACTGAGGGCTCTTCTGCCCAACATCAATATCAACTTTGGTGGCCTCCCAAACTCCTCCTCCTCTTCATCTTCCTCATCCTCCAACAGTGTTAACCACACTGGCGGGTCAGTAGGGCCAACAGGAATGTCGCACAGCCTCAGCTGGGATGGCACAGCCAGCTGGATGGATCCTGCTATCATCACAGGTAGTTTAGCTCTTTTCATCTCAATCATATTAGCTCCTAAAGGTGGTCATTAGCCTGGCAGGGTATTTTGTCCTTCAGCAGCAAAAGGACACAAAAGTAGCCTGATTTACAGACCAAGTTCACCTAGAAACATTTTTTTAAATTCATTTTCAGAATGCGATGGTCACTTTGAGTGAAATGTGAAAAGCCTTCCACACCTATTTCATGCAAAATCTGCTGAATAGAAAATAAGCGGTGAAACTCTAGGAAACGTCACTCTGTCACTTAACGTTCATGGACTCTACCATCTTGGCTTACGACGGGGAAGGCTGTTGTTGGTTTAGTGCCCAGAAAAAGGCAAAGAACATCTTGGCTAGGGATGGGTACCTTTGACATTTGAATCGATTCGGTACTAATTCCCGGTACCTAGGAATCGATACCGGTACTTAATGGTACCAATATTCGAAACTTTTGAGTGTTTATTATTTTAATTCTCTTTTATAATTAGATATATATTTTTCTCAATATATAACCATATTTGATAAATATCACGATAAATAACATTCAACTGTTTGTATTTTAACATCGTCCTTGTAGTTTTATAAGTTGATAATTAAACTGAAGCAAACATCTTTACTGTGAACTAAATTTACTGTGTATCTTCATTCCTTTTGCCGTCTTTTTTCATTTGATTTTTCCTACTGGGAAGTTAGAATTTCCGAGGAGAAAGCGAACGCACCATTAGCTGATAACAACGGTGGCAATGGAAGCTAACATATCAAGCTAACGTTATCTTAAACAGTTTATTTATCTGCTGGAGGGATTAAAACGATGATGCCTCACACTTAAATCGTTGTCGCTGGTTTCATCTTCACCCAATCACCCGTCGCATTTAGTAAAGTGAAGCCAAACTTTTGAGCGCGTTCATGTTCTTCTAGTCGGAATTTCGGAGTTCCGAGGAGAAAGCAAACGCACCATTAGCAGAATGGAAGCTAACATATCAAGCTAATTATATTTACCTACCGGAGCAGATTAAGATGAGGATGTCTCACTTAGATCGTTGTCGCTGGTTTCATCATCACCCAGTTACCCATCACATTTAGTGAAGTGGACCCAAGATTTAGCGTGCGTTCTTTCTACCCATGTTTACAACACGCTCGTAGCGAGCGACGACATAACGCTCTTGCGCATGCGCAGCTGTCTTGGCAAGTTCTCGTTATGATGGACGGGTACCAAAACGAGGTACCGTTTGAAATGACGTGAATCGGTGCTCGGCCGGTACTATGGAATTCGGTCGGTACCTTAAAAAGTACCGAATTCGGTACCCATCCCTAATCTTCGCTAGTAGAAGCTAACTATTAGCATTAGCAACTCCACCACATGGCAGAACTTCTTGTGTTATTTGTGTAAGTAAAACATCAACATTGCAGCGCAAACAGTCAGTTTTGTTGCTGTTAGCCAATCAGAGGCGAGATGTCAAAGTATCAGGAAACAAAACTCCAAATTCTTCAATGTTGTGCTCACCTCTGCTCTGGCTCACTTCTAGTTCCTGAAACAGGAGCACCAGAGCTTTTTTTCCACAAAGATTGACTCACAAGGCGTTCATTTATACTAGAGACCACTGCAAATGTGTTGAAACAACGAGTGAACTTGGTCTTTAATCTCTTGAGACCCTAATTTGTTTTGGTGTGATTTAAAAAAATAAAATTCTAGCTATTGCAGATTAGTCGACTCAGACGTGAACAAAATATCACTTGGATAAAAAATCTTGTTTAATAAAATAAGAATGTCTTTTTAAAACTTAAATATCAAGTAAAAAATTAAAATAATAGGTCTAAGTTGAAGAGAATAAAACGAGTGCATGAATCCAATGTTCTCACATGTGGCCGCAGAGTCTCAGGAGGTTACAGGATGAAACTTTATTTTCTCACAGTGAAATATTCTTCATATCAGCATCATCTCTGATATTGTTGCATACTTTTTTGTGAAAACTCATAAAGATTTAATTCTGTCACCCTAAACTGGCTTTAGACCATGTTTTTTACATCCAGACAATAATACTGCTAATAATAATAATAATAATGTCATAAGTAAGCACACCCCACCAGGACTCACCTACAGCCAGCTGCTTCTGTAAAGACCCGAGTCTCTAAAGTATCAGTCACTGAAAACTTCTTTGCATCGTTGCCACTGCTTGTATCTGATGATCCATCTCTCCCCCCCCCAGGCATCCCGGCCTCGGCAGGCAACAGTTTAGACTGTCTCCACGACGACAACCCGCCACACTGGCTCAAATCGCTGCAGGCTCTTACAGAGATGGACGGCCCTGCCAGCTCAGCCGTGCCCACACCCCAGCCCCTCCACAGCGGCCTCCTCGATGGCCACCTCCCTCTCCACCACAGAGCCCCCAGTGGCTGGGCTCCCTACCTGCCCCCTCCCACAGCCAACCCTGCCAGTCAGTTCCACTCCCCTCCACCAGGCTTCCAGACCGCCTTCAGACCCCCAGGACAGCCCGCCACAGAGCTACTACAGAGCGCCGCCGTGGATCGCCACTGAACACAGACTGGAGCAGATCCATTAACCTGTTTCCCAACTTTCTACCCACTCATCCTGTTGTCCCGCTTCCTTTCCCCCATGCAAAAACACACCAATCTGCAGAGTATGGGAAAAATTAACTAAATAACTAATTTGCTTTCTTCTTCTTTTTTCCCCTCTTCCTCCTCCCATGCGTCTCCCCTAAAGCCCTGTTTGGTTTTTGTTTGCGGCACACTGGTTCCCAGTACTTTCTGTCTGCTGCCATCACGACTCCTTAGACCTAGTACTGGGAGCAAACGGGAGATTCAACGTGTAGCTTAATGTCACCAGAGCACAAGAATCAGCATAGCATTAAAGAGGCCCAGCGGTGACTCCAGCTGACCCCACAAGCTGGCAATGAAATAAATTAGCAGAAGTGAGGTAATTTTAACAAATGTAACTAATGATTAAGCATGAAAACATTTTGTGTTGTTGGAGAGTCGCGATCAGTCTTTGAGGAATAAAAGCAAGCTGTGAATCTGCTCTTTGAAGCTTTGCCCCAAAGACTCTCATTGTACCCCCCACCCACCCCCCCTTCAGAGAAGACAAACGGTTAAATCTTACAGCCATGTTGTGATTAAAGCAAGGTTAGACAGCGATAAGAGAGGTCAGCACTTAGCCTTTTACTGAAATCAATATAATCTGAAAATATATCCGATTGGACTGGAGGGAGAACGAAGATGCCACCGAATCTGAGAGCACAGGCTATGCATGGGCTCCCTGTTAGGTAGGGACACAAATGGCCTGCATCAGAGGCCACTTGGCTCATGCTCTCTTTAGTGAGGGGCCCCCATGGGCCCCATCCGGCTGGAGGGAGAATTTAGCTGAACCTCTGTATCAGAGGGTAGAGCAGCGCCTTACCACAGGGAGCCGGGGCTGTGGGAACTCATGGCACACATCCTGAGCACTAGGGTTAGACTCTAACAGTGCCACTGTGTGGTACCTACCATACTAGCCCTAACATGGACAGCCACCACATGGACAGGACTCGAGTCAAATACTAATGAGGGTAATGGAGGGTGTCAGGTCCCAGAGGGCTTAAACGAGGCCTTACACAGAGAGTTGAGAGAAAGGAGCTGGAGTGTCTGACTGCTGAGAAATATGCAAGACCGTATGTGACTTCAGCATCCGTGTGTAAGTGTGCATCACAAAAGATGGTGCTGTAAGACCAAACCAAGTACTGAAGTAACAAATCAAGGAGAATCCAGATCCACCTCGCTGCTGCCGTTCCTTTAAAGTCTTAATTCTGATTGGTGTTCACTCTCTTTTCTCTCTCTGACCCCGCCCCACTGCCCGTCCTTCCCCTATTTAACAGTATTCACAAAGATGAACAAAAGTCGTCCAGGAGAAACCAACAGTCACAGTGGGTTTGAACATGTCGCAAGGAAAATTCAAACACCTTTAAGGCGCTTACAGGAAGTGAACTGTCCTCTGCAGGCCTGGGAAAATAAACCTTAAATAAAACAGAGAATTCAGACTTTGTGTTTGTGTTTATTCTCGCTGCCTGGATCAAACATGAAAGCCTTCGTCGCTCATGGATTCAGTGTAGTTGTGTTTACCTATCTCCTCCACAAGGGGGCAGATTGTTTTTCTGTCTTGAGTCAAATCTCTGCAGTCAAACTCCGGCCTGAGCACAAGGTGACACAATGGGGGACGCTGAACAACACTTGACAGATTTTCAAATACGAATCTGATCATTGTTGAAATCACTGGAGGTGTGTAGCTGAGTGAGTGTTATCTGGAAGCAGAGTGGTCTGGCACATTTATCAGGGTCCGATCTGGTGCTGCAGGAAGCTGCTCTGCTCTCTCCTAGCGCACAATGCAGCAGAAACACACACACCTTTTATTATGTCTGACTGATGCTATTAATATAGAAGTCTCACACACTTCATTCAGCCTTTTGGTCACGCGTTATATCCCAAGATTTCATTGAAATCATAAAAAATTAGGTCATTGTTAAGTAACTAAGCAGCATAAAGTGTGTTAGTAAGTTATTGGCTCACTCGGTGCTGCAAGAGCAGCTTCAACGGAGCCGGTTCTGAACATTATTTATTTGGATTTGGACACAAACTTAATATTCATTCTTTTTCAGCTGATGTTTAACCCCAGCAGCTCCTCCATGGGCAAGAGGCGGGTAAACCCCAGACCGGTCGTTAGTCCATACAGGGCTTAATAACAAATGCTCACATTAATAGTTTGATTGGTAATTCTGGGTTGTTTAAAAGGCTAGGTTATCCTGAGTTATCTTTAGTTATGCTGCTATAGGCGTAGACCGCTGGAGGACATATTGACCACTTTCCACTCTACCTTTTTCTACCACTTCTCTCTGATTGCATTATTTCTGCTATTACCTTTTGTTCCATCCCACTCTGGAGTCTAGGAGGTTCTGAGAGGGATGTCCAATATTTAGACTCTTCTGTGAAGTTAAACAAGTTGTTTGGTTTTTGAGTGTCACCGGGGTTACTATACCACAACCCAAATATGTTTACACAAAGGTCCTAATTGGACTTAGCTTTCTTCTACAATAGTACCAACACAGGGGTCACAAACTAGGAGAGGAAGCTACATTACAGGGAAGTTCAACAAAGGCCTTCTACTAAAAGGGCTCTGACCTTAACCAAAAGGGCCTGACTCAAAAAGTGACTCTTTTCTAAAACAAGTAAACGATAAAAAACAACCAAAGGAAATGCTCTCCAAAATAGAGCTATCGGGTAGTACTACTTGAACCCATACGACCAAAAGGCAACACTCTCTGTCTGAAAAGAAGTAAAAACAAGGCCTCACTACAGGCTTCCAGTCAAGAGCTAATTAATCAAATTATTGAGTTATGTAAAAGAAAAAAATGAAGGCTACCAGTTTAACTATTTCTCATAAAACGCCAAAGAGACTAAACAAAAGCAGCTACGTTTGATAAAGGCTCCAAATACTCAAAAGGAGACTAATCCAACACATGAGCTCCCAACCAACTCCTCCGCTCCACCTCTTTGCTCTCGCTACTCTCTCTTTCAGCTCTACAACCTTCTTCCGACTCTACAAACCCTCCCTGAATGAGAGTTCAGCAGCTGATTAGCTTGATGGGGGCAGCTGGGTGGAGCCTTCAGCAGGCTTCTGCATGGAGCCGAACCTGACAGAGCTGACCAGCAGCGATATGGTGAGCAGGCAGGAAGGTGTGCGGGTTTACCCCTGGGGTTGTAACAACGTTGTGTTCTCTCTGACGTGTTTTTTACAGAGGAAGAAGCTACAATGGTTTTCTGCTGAGTTGAGGGGGCCTTCGGCTGGCGCACTGCTGCCAACCACATTCTCCTAATAAAAACATTTTACTTCTTTGAAGTGGAATGTGCTGTTACTAGTTCACTTATAGATTTACTAAGATTAAGACAATGACGTTTATCTCCTAATAACTAGATTATCTACTAAGAAATCGCAATTTAGCTATATACTTTGTGTCTGTGTGTGTGTGTGTGTGTGTGTGTGTGTGGGGGGGGGGGGGGTATTGCGGCGGATGGCTGCTCATACTGAGCCCCAGGGATCCTCTGGAGGTTTCTTCCTTCCTGTTAAAAGGAAGTTTTATCCAGAAGTGATAAACGGAAGTGACGCCACCTGAGCTCTGATGATGCTAGAGTCTCTATTCGAAACATGTCTGTTTAAAGGTAAACAACTATTTTATTACTGATCTGTGTTTAAAAAAAAAGAACAGAGTAATGGATCAGGTTTGAAATCGTTCTTTAAATTAAACAAAAGTGAGCTGTTAAGATGATTTTCTGTGTATTTATAATGACTTATTTAACAACAAATTTAAAATGCATAGTGCTTTATTTTATGTTTAATATTTTGAGAACGATTGAAACTCAAAAAGAAAACAGTCTGAAGCCATCTTCATTCATGAACCTGCTTTAAATAATCTTAGGAGTCGCAAGTCAGATGATACATTCAGGACATCTTTCTCATAATGAGAGTGAAAGTTGGTGGGATTGTGGTGAAACGCCTTTCAGCAGCTCCTGCATGCGATGGATGATTAAGAACAAATAAAAGTCCATGCTCGTCATGTATGTGGTGGTGTTTGGGAAGATGGACATTGGTGGTTCTAGGGGCGGAGCCACAGGGGCGTTGGTCCCTGCTGAACCATGACTGATCCTCTCAAGTGCCTCTGTCCTGTCACTCGTCTATGGAAGAAATACAGTCTCACCAGAATGTGTCTTTTTTTTTGGACAGAATTTTTATTCTGTGACATTATGTATATTTGTTTATGACCTAAAATGCTCCTGCAAAAATTTCATCTGTAAAATCAAAAATGCAGAATTTCAACAACGGAGGTGACCTGGTGACCCAAGCCAATGTAACTGGCACTCAGTTTAATCACGTGGCCTTTGGCCAATAAATTGAAATGTGTACAAAAATTCATATTCTGGTGAGACTGTTTCTTCCATAGGTCTGCCATTGGACTAAACTGATATCTCTGAGGCTGCAGATTCTTTATTTATTCACAGGTTTTGGAAGGAAGAGATGAAATGACACTCCAGTAAAACATGGAGGAGGTGTGATCATGCTGTGGGGCTGCTTTGCTGCCCTAAAGGCCCTGACGGTATCAACAGTAAAAAAAAAAAAGGTTACTCAATATTAGATAATTAACTTGACAGCTTCAAGTTAAAATCTTACAGTTTTCAGTAGATCGCCCGCAGAAAACTGTTTATATCTGTTAACAACATCCGGATTACATGATAGGGGTCTTGTTCCCAGCCAGGTGTCCCTAGCTGGGGCGGTTTGTGTGGGTGTGCTGAGGAGGCACCAGCAGCAGGAAGGTGATTGTGTAAATAATGCAGACTGGCTGCAGATTCAGGGGCTGTAACTGTGAGTCAGCAACAACACAAGAAGGAATGTGGGGGTGACTGATCAGGGGGATGATGCATGCCTGACGTATAATAATAATAATACATTTTATTTCAAAGCGCCTTTCAGGACACCCAAGGTCAGTATGCAGGAATACCATCTGTTTATTTTCCACAGCCACAGGAAACAACAGCAGAGGTTGGGATTCTGGTGGAACACGATGCCAGGTTTAGTGATTCATCCGCTTACTCCTGATCTGGTCATTTCCACAAAGGGGAGAGGAAGAATGTGGATTTACATGCAAGCAAACTGGTTCTTGCTTCGATTTCTGCATTTCAAAGCAGCAATGAGATGGTATCAGCCCGGGGTTGTGTGGCTGTAAATTCATGTCTCTAAGTGTCGGAGCTCATTATGTTCTGCAGCTAAAGTAAGCAAAGAAGATGCAATTAAACAAACAGCCTTCAGCCAGGATCAGGTGTTACATCAGACTTTTGCACTCTTCCATGGAGAATTCCTCTGCAGGAGCTCAAGCTGTTAAACTGCTGAAGCCTGGTGTTCCTGGAGGACTGCAGCTGAAGGATGAGGGCATGTTCAGAGGGCACGGGAGCCGCAGTGGCTAAAAGTTAGCTGTGTCTGCTGAAAGCCAAAGACAGATGATGACAAAGTTCCACCAGAGATAAATCTCAGCAAAGAAAACAGTAAAATCAGCTCTTAAGGAGAGCTTGAGGTGGATTTTATGTTTGCTTAAAAGCATTGCGCAAAACTTGAGTGGTGCCAAACGGCTGAGAGAAACGGGTATGTGGTTGTTCAAAATGTTTACTTACATGGATCAAGGTCCCTTTGGTGGGATTTTTCTTTGTTCCCAACAGACACATTTTCTTGATGTTTTAGAAGTGATCTTGATGGATAATTCTTTAGCTTGAAGCTTTTATGAAGGTTTAATTTGGACTTGGGCTGCTGATTTGTAAATCAGTCCTGCAGAAAACAGACTTCTGAGAAGGGAATCGACAGCACTGTGTACTGGTAAATAATAGAAAAGCACCAAGAAAACACGTTTAAACTATATATTTTTGTTATCAGCAGCTTTTCACTGGAAATCTAATAAGAATAATATGAAAAAATTAAACTACTGTAATTAAATTAGGATTAGGGCACCAATAATGTGATTTTCTAACTCAAAAAATGCAAATGATCGCTACATGTCCTATAGGTTAAAAACAAAAGGTACATCGCTTTGGATAAAAGCGTCTGCCACATAAATAAACATAAACATAGATGATCTAAGGATCACTCTGGTTTCACTTCAGGACTTTGATTTTAACTATTTTTTTAAATATACCATTAATTTGCTGTAAATGTTCTTTTTTTCTAGGCTGTGTTCTTTCTCTGTTGGTCCCTATTAATCCAATATCTTCATTCCAAAGTCCAAACTGCACAGATGTACCTTGATTAAATACAGGAACGGGCCATTTAATGAGGAAAAAGCAGCTAAAGCCATTAAATCTTTGAGAACCGTGAAAAATGAATCCAAACCACATTTAATTACAACAAGAAAAGTCTTGCTGCTTGGAGGCAAAATGAAAACAAACTGGAAGTGGTTTCAAACTTCTGCACACGGTACATTTATTTCTGATCTAGGAGAAATTGTAC